ACAAATATCAGTGAAGTCAGTCAGTCAGTTAGTGCTTCTATATGGGTCAGAAATTTGAACTGCGCCAGCGTCATGAGAAGCATTCCCAACAGGTCATTGCAGACTTTTACCAACTGATGCCACCTTTGCTAGCTGGCTCCACCATACTGAAGATCCAATGGCCAGTCAGCCGGCCGGCCAGGAAGAATTAGCAACAAGAAACTCTGGCGATGAACAAACCAACGACAGAGAGCTGCCGATCGCTCAACAAGTAGAAGCAGAATCAAAATGGAGATGGAATGACTGGGCATGACGCTGAGGAAGGAGGCCGTCGAACGACATCTCGCGCAATGCAGGCTATTGCTCCTCAAGTGGAGTCCCAATAGGATTTGATAAGTCGGTGACATGGAGGAGATCGTGTGGGGGAGTTGGAGTTGGGGGAGGAGAAGGAGATGAGAGATTATGGGAAATTGTGGGGTCAGGCAGCTGAAGAGGACAGCAGGGAATAGAAGAAAGTGGAGATGTGTTGATGAAGGCCTATGTTCCACGCGAAACGCAAGGGAACAACAATGACATAAAGATAGAAATATAAGCGCTAATAACGTTTTTTTAAGAAAAATCGTCATCAGATATGCATGGCTGTTTGGCAGACTTTGTGTGAAACAAAAATAAATAACCAAATATGATATTAGAGATAATGATGAAATTAATTAGGGCAGCTATTACAAACAAGCTATTAGGCCTGTAATTTATTTATCATTTTATTGCAGATACATGTTAAACGTTTTACTTAAAATTTGCTACACAGTACACACGAATACAGAATGACTGCTTATGGCGAGTTGTCATCTGAAGTGGTAACGACTAATGGCGTCCGTCAAGGATGCCCATTATCCCCATTCCTATTCAACTTCATCATAGACGTACTAATAGACTTAACCCTAACACACTTCAGCGACTCAGGGATTGACTTGCTACCAGGGATGGAATAATCTCGTCGACTTAGAATGTGCGGACAATATAAGCCTTCTAGGCGAGGACGCTCACAAAATGCAGACACGGTCTTCTGAACACCTTGAGCAACAATCTTCGCATGTTTGGCATGCGATTCACCCCTGTAAAATGTAAGATGATGCTGCAGGATTGGACTTCACCGACCCCTAGATTAGAAATAGGAAGTGAAGTGGTAGAGCACGTTGACCGCCTCACTTACTTGGGAAGTACCATCAGCCAACGCCAACAGGTTGATCTCCACCGTCTCTGGCGTAAACGCGATATCCGACTATCGACAAAAAGGCGTGTGTACTGCTCAACAGTCCGCTCCGTCCTCCTTTATGGCTGGCTGTGAGACCTGGCCATTGAGAGCAGAAGACATGAAAAGATTAGCTGTTTTCGATCATAGGTGTCTGCGTTCTATCTCCTGTGTTAGTTGGTGGTATAATAAGGTGAGCAATATTGAGGTTAGGCATCAGTCGAGTGCTAGGTAAGGCGAGGAAATCAGTCGACGAGACTGTGAAATTACATCGACTGAGATGGTTAGGACATGTGTTACGCATGCATGCCTAGTCATCGCCTTCCTCGACAATGGGCAATGTTAGCTGATATAGGATGGGTCAGGCTGGAAAAGAGCTAGCGGCGGTCAAACGAAAACATGGACTCACCAGTCAATGAAATCTACAACAGTTAGTCTAAGCCACGTAGGAATGTGTAGACTGGCTTCCTGACTGGTTGGGGTCCTCGGGATGGTAAATCCAATGGTTGGAAACAATTGGTGACATGGCTCAAAATCGTTCTCAATGGCTAGCGCAGATGCATCCACTCCTTGAGACTCATGATTTCCAATGAAACTGTTTTGTTCTCCGTTATTACTATTCCTTTGTCTCACACCTCTGTTTACTGTCTCTCTCTATTATGCATTTCTCCTATTTTCTTGTCTTGCTTTGTGTGCTACATGGAGTGTAGGGAGTGTGGCGACTTGAACTGCCGCACATATGTACAAAGTTCTATGTCGAAAACCGACCGACCGAATGACTGCTGACTTACTGGTCTCTACATAGAACTTTCCACAGAAGTAGCGCACCTCGTGTACCCCACACAAAGGAAGGAAGACAAATGACAGAGAAGTAAGTGATTCGAAAGACTATAAATCACGGTGACAGAAAGAATAGTAACACGCAGAGAGTACAATAGAGAGACCAAAAAGAGTCAACGTATTTGACCTATAATTCATAACAATTCAAACTCATCTTCCATCTCATCAACCACTTCTAACCACTAGACATTATAAGGCAACCAAACAGACAATTTACCCCACCCTACATGACATTCTAACATTTCTGTCGACCGATTTCAAACAACTTTTGGTTTGACCACCACTCGATAATCCCATTATGCATAAGATTTTATTTTGATACACTGTCACACAGTGTAGTGTTATACATTAGTATTAACTGATGATTACGTTTCGAGCACAACTTATTATTGCCACTCATAATCATTTCAAGTCAATACTCAAACAACTTTTTACTTCATTTATATACATGAGTGGAATTGATGATTAGATATTTGAATAAAAATCAGTAATATGGGATAATGTACATTCAGAAATAATAATAATAATATGAGTGTTATTGATCAATTACAATCAGATGGGAAATAAGACGAGTGTTTTTCTTTATAGTCATAATAAGTAACATGTTAGAATGTTGTGATGTACGTGAATTGAATTGAAATAGAATACAATTTAAGATTATTTATTATCCTCCTCTGATTTCACTGACTGACTGCTGGTAATAATATCTTCCATACATGTCTCTGGTATTTGCATTGAGTCGTTCCAATTGCTTGTGCTGGGTGTAGACTCGATGAACCAGGCAGGATTCAGTAATCAATCTCTCTCTCTCCACCTAAACAGATTACTTCTTAGAATCTTAACCGTCTCCCACCACCCTATTGTGTGGCTTTGTGTTAATGCATGCAGTGCAATGTAGTGCTGAGCTTTTTTCTAAATTATTTATCTTCTCGGGGTCAACCATTCTTACCGACAATCTGGTTAACCCCGATCTACTAGTTTGAGCTATATAGTTGACGTCACAGGCATTGCAGGGTCCAACGGGTCTTTGAGCCTACAAAGCTTGTCCCTCTGTGAGTTTGTAGGTTTGAATGCCACCACCCTAATTCCTGCTTTGTTATTAAGAATCCTATGTAGGGAGGGTCTCAGATGTCCCCTCCTTATATGGTATAACAGTAGATGACTTATATTCTCTCTTATTTATGTTATCATTACTAGTTTCACAATTATTTTTATTTTGCTTTTGGTCTTTACTGATCTTCCTAATGAATTTTATAGGATAGTTAGTTATTTAACGCCAACGCCTCCTCTATCTGTTTTATTTCATCGTTTAGGTCTTTTCTTGTGCTACTTAGTGCTACTGCTCGGTTTGTTAAACACTTAACTAAGCCTGCCTCAACAGTAAACGGATGAATTAAAGTCTAAATATCTACTAGAAGGCGTTGGTTGTTCATAAACGCTAGTGTGCCCTTTGACTTCTGCTATTCGTTTCATTCTACAATCGAACATCACAGCTAATTCTCCTTGTTCATCAGTCAAATCAGAAGAGGATAATAAACAATCGCAAAATTCTATTTCAATTCGCGTACATCGCAACATTCTAACAAGTTGCTTATTGTGACTATAAAAACACTCGTCTTATTTCCCATCTGATTGTATTTGATCAGTAACACTCATATTATTATCATTATTATTTCTGAATGTACATTATCCCATATTACTGATTTGTATTCAAATGTCTAATCATGAATTTCACTCATGTATATAAATGAGGGAAAAAAGTTGTGTGAGTGAGTGAGTGACTTGATATGATTGTGAGTGGGAATAATAAATTGTGCTCGAAACGTGGTCGCATCAGTTAATATTACTGTATAACACTGCACTGTGTGACAGTTTATCAAAATAATATCTTATCCATAATGGAGTAGTTATACTCAGCCACCACAGTGCCCACATTTTATACACTTATATCACTAGCTAACCCCTCCTTTGCAACCTCATATATCATCACGCCTCCTCACCTACAGGCATGGCATGCCTGTAACACATGCCCTAACCATCTCACTACAATCGATTCAACGCCGCCGCCGCCGCCACCTAAGACTGGATACCTGACCTCAAAATACATATATATTACTCAACTTCTGCTACCATCATCCAAAGCCTCAGGATGGTCAGGGGTGGGTGCCTTGCGCTGCGGGTTGGCTACCCCTCCGCACACCTCTTGGAATGCTCCCATATGACCGGGCGTCTTACATACCCTCTCCTGAGGAAGTCCTACTCACTGCCTTCACGTGGCGGAGGTGTTTTTCACCACAGTGAGAGGGCGGAAGCGGATGCCCGGCGCTCTTCACCGGGTTGACTGTCCACTGGATGACAGTCTAGGGGAGATGGTTAAACCCTGATTCCAAACCCCCCACGACTGGCGTATGAAGCTCACTGGAGCTCACCGGCAGACGTGTGGACAAAGGGCTTGTTGGATGTCCTGGATGTCTGGCCCCATTCAAAAAGGCGTATGAACCGAACTCCGGTCACCGGCTGCCAATGGATAGTGGACTCCCTACTCCACTCCTACTGCCTTGTAGGTCACACTTGGTTGTGTAAAGGCTAGAGCTGCACTCTCAAACAAAAGGCCGAGCGATTCTGGGGACATCACTCGTACCAAATTCCCATGAAACTTCATGAACTCTCTTCATCAGATCGCCGCGCCTGGGCAACGATGATTGGAGATGTTCATGAAGCCGGCTCATCCTCCCGTAGGAGATAGCCGAAGTAAAGTAAAAGTAAGTATCGAACACAGGCGATAGAACGCAGACACGTGTAATCTAAAAGCTCTTTTCAAATCTTAATTTTTCATTGTTAAGCGTACAAATATATCGGATGAATAATAATACAATGGGGAAAATAAACACACACACACACATACACACATATAAATCTAGACACTTACTTTATTATTATTATTATTATTATGATTAGTATTATTGTGAACACCTGCGTTATTTGATCGATTGACAATATTTTGAGTAGAAGTAGAATTCTCGTTGACAAATAGTGTTGTAGTATGACAGCTGAGATATGTTGATGGTAATTAGAAAAAAAAAGTAAAACAAGAACAAAAGAAACGAAAGATGAAAAACAACAACATTAACATTAACATTGATGTATGCATGCGTGCATGCATGCAGGTGTTAACAAAAACCAATGTTCCCTTTAATGGAGACAGTGGATTTTATATGTGTGAGGAGATTACTATGCGAAACATAGACATCGGGATTTCTGTGTATCCACCTTGAAGGAGGAACTTATTTTAAGATGTACAATGAATGTTCATTTCTTATTCAACAATAAGAAAAATATTACAGACAAATTGATGGTGTAGCTATAGGTGGGTTCCCCTTATTAGGTCCAATCCTAGAGAATGGACCACTGAAAGGAGTAATTAATGACATGGATTTCTACTGTCGATATATATATATGGATGATACATTTCTGGTTATGAAAGATGAGAATGAGGCAATGAATATCCTTGACAAGTTAGTTCAGCAATAAACTTAACCATAGATGAAGAAAGTAATGATAGTATCTCATTCCTAGATGTCTTCATGGTAAGGAAAGAAGATGGCACACTAAGAAGGAGTGTGCGTATAGGAAACCTACAACAACAGGTCACTACACTCATTTTTTGAGTTTTGTACCTTTGAAATATAAACACGTAATCTGGTAAAGTGTCCGGCTCATAGAGCTAAGTTAATCTGTTCAGACGACTGCCTCAATGAGGAGCTTAAGATTATTAGAGAATTACTTAGAAAAAACGGTTATCCAGATAAATTTATTGAGAAGAATATGAATACAGCACCAAAGACAGTCAGTATGGCTGCAGTTCCCAAAAAACCAATGTTCATAAAACTGCAGCTCCTCGGTGACAACATCAGCGAAATCATAACACAGCGAACACCTGAAGAATGCAGTTAAAAGAGCTAGCTATGCAGCAGGGGTACGTTGTCCCTTAACAACCACCCCTATTCTACGTTCGAGAAATAAAGATAAACTACCTAAATTTGCCTCTTCTATGTGTATCTACTAGATTATCGGAACATAAGAATTTAGCTAAGGTGAGAATGGTTGACCCGGAGCAGATAAATAATTTACACCAAAGCTTAGCAATTGCACTTCACGCATTAACACACAACCACACAACAGTATGGTGGGAGACGGTTAAAATTCTAAAAAGTGATCCAGGTAGGTGGAGAGAGAGAGATTGATTACTGAATCATGGCTGGTTCATCGAGTCTACACTCAACACATGCAATAGGAATGACTCAATGCAAATACCAGAGACATGTATGGAAGATATTATTACCCCCAGTCAGTCAGTCAGTCAAAAAACTTATTGTGACTATTAAAACACTCGTCTTATTTCTCATCTTGTTATTGTATTTGATCAATAACACTCATGTTATTATTATTATTTCTGAATGTGAATTTTCCTATATTACTGATTTGTATTCAAATGTCAAATGTATTTCAATATCTAATGAATTCTACTCATGTATATAAATGAAGCAAGAAAGTTGTGTGAGTGAGTGAGTGACTTGATATGATTATGAGTGGGAATAATAAATTGTGCTCGAAACTTGGTCATCAGTTGATATTACTGTATAACACTGTATGACAGTTTATCAAAATAAAATCTTATCCATAATGGAGTTATAGCCAGCCACTACAGTGCCGAAGTTTCATACTTGTATCAATATATAATAAGACTTATACGAACCTCTGTAGATAGAGAGAAGTGACTGGATCAATGATACCACTAACTGGAATTGCGGTTTCTATTTCCGTATTGATTTGTTTATTAGATATAATATCACACACACACACAGAGTGAAACAGTATGACTATTATTTACTGGATGACGAAGTCTCCAACATAATTTATTTATTTATTTATTTATTTGTTGTTCATAATCACACTATCGATTATAATTATTGCACAACTTCGAAACTTTCGTTTTTTTAGTTTTCTTTATTGCTTTCCTACTATTCGTCGTTGTCGTGGTCGTGGGGGTGGTAGAATTTTCCAAATTTTTTTCTTTATTACTACTCCACGTTCCAAGTGAAACAACATAGGGCGCCTTCAAGCTAGAGGCTTGAAGTTTCGGTAGCAGTGGTGTTTATTTTTACGGGATGATGGGACTGCTAGCGCCCCCTCTTCACCAGTCTCAGCGAGCGAGTTAAAGGAGTGCGTCGGTGACCGGGGATCGAACCCCGGACCACCTGCGTGGTTGACAAGCATTCTACCGCTGTGCCACCAACGCACGATACTGATGATGATGATAATAATAATAATGATATTAATGACGACGTGCATGTCAGACGCAACAGGATAATGACAACACCAACTGATAAATGATGAAAGAGCCTGATAAAGGATCAGGAGTAGTCCTCCTTGATAGAAGTGACTATTTTGAAAAGATGAATGATATATTGAAGGACACACAGAAGTTTCAAAAAACTTGAGGAGAAGAAAGATTTCAATAACAAAATAGAGAATGAATTAGTTAACCAGACGTTTGAAGAAACTACGGGATATTTTCTGAAAGTTTATATGAAGAAATCAGACCAACGGACACGTATACACCAAGATTGTATGGCCTACCTAAAGTGTATAAACCGGGGGTACCATTTAAACCAATACTTAATATGCAAAATTCGCCCTACCATGCTCTAGCTAGATGGTTAGTAAATATTCTCAAACCTTTGCATGAGAAGATAGTGAAATATAGCGTCAAAGATGTATTGGAATTCGTAGACAAAATCGCAGATATTAATATCAAGGACAAAACCATGATATCTCTGGACATAACATCTTTATTCACAAATGTACTTCTAGTAGAAACAGTTAACTAAATATGTGAACAAGTGTATAACCGGTCAATAAACATTGGCATCTGTACTGAAATCCTAAAACAACTGTTATTAAGGTGTACCATAGATGTAAGTTTCAAGTTTGACGGCACACTTTACAGACAAGTGGACTGGGTGGCGATGGGCTCCCCATTGCTTCCATTTCGGCTGATTTCTTTCTAAGTAAGCTAGAAAATGGACCTCTGAACAACCTTATCAGAAAGTTCTCATTTTATTGCCGATATACGGATGATACCTTTATTCTTTGTGATAATGGTTCCGATAGGAGTACAATAATTACTGAATTCAATGAAGTACATTCGGCTATGAAATTAACACACGAAGAGGAATCCCAAGATAGAATGAACTGCCTTCCTGGATGTCCTCCTTACAAGAAAACCAGATGGTAGCATAAAAAGAAATTTGCATAGAAAAAGTACTTGGACAGGACAATATACACACATTTTCACAGCTTCGTTCCTATCAAGTACAAAAGAAATTTAGTGAAGACCCTCACCCACAGAGTTAGAGCTATATGCTCAGAAGGAGTAATTTAAGATGAATTAAGCATTGTGTATGATACTTTGATCGAAAATAGCTATCCCGACAAATTTATCAAGAAACACATGACAAAGAAAGCGGAAAGGGACTACTCACTATCTGTAAACAAGAAGCCACTTTATATACGACTACAATTCAAGGGAGATATACCAAGTGAAATAATTACGAAGAAATTAAGAAAGAACTTTTAATGCTGGCGAACTACATATCTTATTCTCTACACGACTGATGGTGCTACCTCGACTGAAAGATGAAGTACCTAGACTAACCACTTCAAATTGTATTTATCAATTCAACTGCGCTTGTGGAGCGAGTTATATTGGCCGTTGCTCTAGGAACTTGATTTTTCGTGCTCGGGAACATCTCCCACTATGGCCAAGTAAAGGTGTAGTGAAAACCATTAACAAACAGTTCGATATTGGACCATCTGGTACGAACCGGCAGGCCGGCCACAAAGCCAACCAGCCAGCCAGCGTGGAAGAATCCTTCTCTATCATCATCTACCGGGTGCCACATAAATTGCCAAAATCATCATCGAAGCACCGCATGCTCCAAACATCAGAGGCTATTGCAATTCGCCTCAAACAACTAGTGCTCTGTGTTCAAAAAAAGTAAGTCCAGCCCCTACTACTGCCCTGGTCGGCCTTCAGTAGAGACTGTAAATTCATGAACTTGTAATATTATCTTTCCTAATTCAACTGACATTCAGCGTGTATTGTTATGTTGATGCTATTGAACTATAATCCACTGGTATTATTATCATTATTGTTGATTCGATGTTATTTAAACAGCAAGATTAATGTTGTTGTTCATAACACTAATTCGTTCATTCCTTCATTCATTCATTGACTATTATGGATGGATATATAACTGTAGAGCCTGATGGTGATGATGAAGTTATCAAAAAGAGTACTCTTTGTTCAGTATCTATCCATTCTTTTGAAAATTTAAATCATGTTAAAACTAACCATTTTCGCCACTATCTAATTTTAAATTATCTAATCTGTATGTTTTAGTTCATAAGAATTTGTTAGTCTAAATTTTGATTGGTTCCTAAGGATATAATACCACATAGCTGAATATTTACACAATTCATAAGTAGGTGAATTTCCAAAATCAACTATAGGTCTATATATGTCCAAACCAAGTTCATCTTTAACGGTTTGAAAAAATTTGGGCATTGGGTACATGACATTCATTATAATAAAGGTTTTTGTATTTTCCAATGAATGAAAAAGAGCAAAACGATATTGTTGCTCTAACTGACGTTTCGCTATTTAATGCTGCTGCTAATAGCTTTATCAAAGTATTATTAAACCGGAATTTACAAAATCCACTCAGCGTATATATATAACAAACAGTTAGGGGGTGAGAAAATAAACTACTTAGGTCAAGTTAAAAGGAGGACATATTGAAAGTAAACATAGCAATGAAGATAACTAAACCAAATGACAAGGGTAATAGTACGTCTACTCTGGATAGTGTCAAAACAAAGTTTACTAACTTGATCATCGTTCCTCAGTCTGGGGGCATTTTTTCGTTGTCAAGTTGGTCAATTGGTAAAGATAACAAAACCAAGTGTGGATTGTTGGATTTGATCGGTGTGTAAAATTATAAAAGTAGTGTGTGTTTACATAGTGAACTTGCTTATCACATTCGTGTTGATTTTGTCACTTCATGGGGGAGGGGTTGGGGGTGTTGTAACCAGGTCAGATTCCGTTTAAGTCCATCATTCCTATTCAGTTCAGACAATTTGGATTCCACTTGATGATATGAAGTGCTTCTGTTGATATGAGACGTCCTTTGTGATTTCTGAAATGCTTTTTCTGGATGACTATTTCAATAATGTCAAAATCAATTTTGTGACCTGATTCTATAGCATTTAGACCTCTATGGCTGATGATTTTTCAAGTTTTTGTAGTTCAACGGGATTTATTTCTCGGTGGTCGAAGAGGTGATCACTCTACGGTGTCTAATAAGGTATCCTGACTTATGAAATTTAACAACACCTTGCTTTGGCCCCGGTGCTACAGATAAGATTTGTCTCAGTAGTAGTATTTAAAGAGACGTTCATCGGCACAAAATATATCAAATGGCAGGGAGATACATTTGGTGTCAGAGAAGGCAAATGATACAACGTTGTTGTGGAGATACATGGGAGACGTGAAAGGAACACAAAGAAACACAATATGAAGGAAGTTCAGAAGTACGACAACATGAAGAACTGTGCAAATGGTGCGTTGTAGATAAGATGTACATAATTTGGCTATACAGAGATATCAATTACCACTTTAACATGAAACCTGCGGCGAAGTTAAACTATAGGGACACAGGGGGGGTGGGAACGCTCCGATGACCTTGAATGCATACTAGTCTTTGGCCAACCACATCTGTCATTATCATAGTGCAAATATGTACGCTATATTCACCAACTAAGTAAGCAGAGAATTTCACTCGGATCACGTTCCTAAGTACTGTTTGGACAATAAGTTAATAGATAGTTAGGCTTAGGATTAGAGTTAAGGCGGGTATTAGGGTTATAATTAGGATTAAGGTTAGGGTTATGATTAGGGATATGTTTCGAGTGGGTATTATTTATTTTAATCTGTTTTATTATACACATTTCCCTAACAGGCAGTCGTCGAACCGTCTACTGGAAGGCATAGTGATTCAACTGAGGGCTTTGGCGAAGACTTCTAAACAGGATAAGAGCGATAAACAGGTAACAAAACAAGCTCACCTCAAGTCACCTCGGTGAATACATATACAGAAACTGGTCTAACTTAAAAACTGATACTCCTCATTCTAAATGGGACGTATTTTTGATATAAGTATAAAACTTGGGCACTGTGGTAGCTGAGTACTACTCCATTATGGACAAGATTTTATTTTGATAAATCACACAGTTTTACACAGTAATATTAACTGATGCGACCACGTTTCGAGCGCAAACTATCATTGTGACTCATAATCATATGAAGTTACTCACTCACACAACTTTTTCCCTTCATTTATATACATGTGTGGAATTGACGATTAGACATTTGAATACAAATCAGTAATATAGGATAATGTGCATTCAGAAATCATAATAACCATGTGAGTGTTATTGATCAATTACAATCAGATGGGAAATAAGATGAGTGTTTTAATAGTCGAAATAAGTAACTTGTTAGAATGTTGTGATTTGCAGATATCGAACTCATTCATAGGACAAAGCTGCCCATTGAGGAGGAAATTATATTAGGAATTCAGTTATGTCTCACATCTACTATCTTTAAATTCCAAGGCAAAATTTATAGACAAACACAAGGTGTAGCAGTGGGATGGATCACCAATATCCCCTGTCGCAGCAGACATATTTATGGACAGCTGGGAAAATATGGCTCTTAACACATTCACCTAATCCTACTCCAAAAATATGGTGGAGATATGTGGATGACACAACATATCTGTAGCTTCTTGACATATATAAACTCACTAGTAAAGGGAATAAAATTCACATTTGAATCGGATAATGAACAAGGAGAATTAGCTGTGATGTTCGATTGTAAAATGGAAAGAATAGAAGAAGGTAAAGTGCACATTAGCGTTTATGAAAAACCAACGCATTCTAGTAGATATTTAGACTTTAATTCATCTTATCCGTTTACTGTTAAGGCAGGCTTAGTTAAGTTAAGTGTCTAACAAACCAAGCAGTAGCAATAAGTAGCACAAGAAAAGACCTAAATGATGAAATAAAACAGATAGAAGAAGAGGTGTTGGCGTTAAATAACTAACTATCCTATAAAATTCATTAGGAATGTCAGTAAAGAGCAAAATCAAAATCGAAAAATAATTGTGAAACTAGTAATGATAACTTGAGTAAGAGAGAATATAAGTCATTCACTGTTATACCACGTAAGGAGGGGAAATCTGAGACACTCCCTACATAGGAATCTAAATAACAAAGCAGGAATCAGGGTGACGGTGGCATTCCAACCTACAAACTCACTCAGGGACAAGCTGTGTTGTAGGTTGGTTGAAAGACCCTGTCGGTTGACCGAATTAAACAAAATAATATAATTTACAAAATACCTTGCAATGATTGTGTGGTCAACTATATAGGTCAAACTAGTAGATCGGGGTTAATCAGATTGTGGGAACATAAGAATTTAGCTACGGTAAGAATGGTCGACCCCGAGAAGATAAGCAATTCAGAAAAAAGCTCAGCAATTGCACTACATGCAATAACACACAACCACACAATAGGGTGGTGAGAGAGGGTTAAGATTCTAAGTAATCTATGTAGGTGGAGAGAGAGAGACTGATTATTGAATCCTGGTTCATTGAATCTACACCCAACAAAATCAATTGGAATGACTAAATGCAAATACCAGAGACATGTATGGAAGGTATTATTACCACCAGTCAGTGAAATCAGAGGAGGATAATAAATAATCTTAAATTGTATTCTGTTTCAATTCAATTCAAGCACATCACAACATTCTAACAAATTACTCACTTATTATGACTATAAAAACACTCGTCTTATTTCCCATCTGATTGTAATTGATCAATAACACTCATATTATTATTATTTCTGAATGTACATTATCCCATATTACTGATTTTTATTCAAATGTCTAATCATGAATTCCACTCATGTATATAAATGAAGGAAGACGAAAGTTGTGTGAGTGAGTGAGTGAGTGACTTGATATGATTATGAGTGGGAATAATAAATTGTGCTCGAAGCGTGTGGTCGCATCAGTTAATATTACTTACTGTATAACACTGCACTGTGGGACAGTTTATCAAATTAATATCTTATCCATAATGGAGTTTAATTGAAGATGCCCCCCCCCCATTCATTCACATACGTGAACAGGACAGATAATTCACACATACCCATTGTTTTAAGCAAAGAACATTTATCTATAATTAAAAAAATCTCGTATAAGCGTTTACAAAACACAATGAACAAGGCAGAAAATCGACATTTGTGTGTGTGTGTGTGGGGGGGGTAATGATAGATACTTAAGAAACTATGGTGATAACGATGATGAAAAATTTCAACACTTACGATTGCAAAGCTACAGGATCGTGATTGCATATATCAACTGTTTCAGTTGATCCGATGATTAGCTGAGAATCATCTCTTGCCGGTCCTGTAACAACAACATCATTGTATGCCATAAATGAATTGTTGTTCACAGAGGGACAACTGTGCCCATTCACATAACATGATAAACATTGTACAGGTGAATCTTCAGGTGGATCTATAGAACAGACTTCCGGAGTAGCAGTATATGCGACAGGTATTGAAGTACTCGAAGTAGTAGTAGCAGTAGCAGTAGCAGTAGTAGTAGCTTTTATGTCCAAATCAATAAAATCATCTACCAAAGTGTTGACGCTTCTTTGTTCAGATAAATTAGTCGATATATTAAAGTGATTATAAGAAGAAGACGGGATTCTTGCCGTTGAAAAAGACGCTGATGCTGATGGCGGCGATGATGGCGATGATGATGACGACGGTAACACTCCATTATTCGCTACTGGTGATCTCGTCGATTTAATTCGCTTAGAATTCAATAGTTGAGATTTGGACGAGCCATTGATATAATATAAACAACAAGACTTCGATGATGTTGAAGGTGATGATAAGGCAGACGGTGAGAAGTGAATGGTGGTGCTGCTAGTAGCAGAACAATCATGATTATTGTTATTGTTGTTGTTGTTGTTTTGGTGGTGGTGGTGGTGGTCAGTGCTAATTCCAGCATCATCATTATCACAATCCAAATTTCCGTTTATCTGTGAAATGAAACCATTCCCATCATAATCATCATCATCATCATAATGTGAACTTGACACAGGTGGCAAGTTTTCATCATAAGGTGGTGAAACAGAAAATAGGTCAGAGTCAAGATCATTCCCTTCTATATATATGGAAAAAAAGAAAGAAAGATGTGTTGGGTGATTGTAAAAATTCTAAAATGCGATACAGTATGAATGGGCAGAAGTTAGAATTCATGGACTGGCTGGCCATTGGATCGGGTCCCAGTGGCCTAATGCTCTACTACGAGCTCGCTAGCCTTGTAACCACAAGGTCCTGCGTTCGAACCCCGGTGGTGGGTGTGTACTGATGAAGAGTCTCAAACTAGGCTGACGAAACAGCTGTCCAGTACTCCCTGTGGCTGGTTTTCCAATGGTTCTCTAATCAACTGATGTCAGGTGGTCATGATGAAATCCTATAAGCAGTATGGTTTATAAAGGTATCTACTTACTACCGCACAGGCATTGTTTACTCAAAAAACACAAAAATTGTCGTCGTCGATGAAGATAAGAACAGAAAGCTGTCATGGAATGGTCGGTCAACTGACAGAATTCTACACAGCTGGGTAGCCATCAGTAGAAAACGAAACCTGATCCCATCGCTTGCTACTCACATTCGGCGTATATATGTAGTCTTGATACAGTAGAGGAAGAGTGAAATCTTTTGAGAAAAAATGCCTAATAGAAAGTGGATTTCCATCACGTTTTATGTAGACAAGAATAGACAGTCAAATCCTATCAAAATGTGACTGATCATCCGAGATCACCCAAGAAAATACTATACATGAGCTTGGAATTCATAGGTGACTCTTAGCTTCCGAAACCATTAAAGGAAGGACCTCACAGTCCCTGAAAAGAACATTCCCTGCTGCATCATTGAGAATAGAATTTTCCAGTCAACGAATACTGTTCAATAACCTGAAAGACAAGATCCCGCAGTTGACCAACTCTATGTACGTTTATCAATTCACCTGGTTGTGTAGAACTAGGTATATCGACCGTTCCACTCAAGTCTTGTTCAAGAGGGTGCAAGAACACTATCCTGCATGTTAGTAGTTACGAAGAGGTAGAAGTGGAGCAATAAGAAGCACAAGCATTGAACATCTGGTCGACAATGATCACCTAATGATCACTACAGCCTCCGCCATCAAAGTCATCTGTCTGTAAGGCGAAAAGTAATTTGCCCAAATCACTACGTATCCGCCGACTCATCTAGATTGCTGATGCCATCTTTGGCCATCGAAACAGAAAAGCCAAATCTCTGTATACAGAAAGAGTTGGTTCAACCCCTTCCCCTCTAACTTTCACAGTCCCTCTACGTTAAAGTATGACAATCCCCATTTCATATTTTGGCTCTACTTATTTTTCGTTTTGTTTATTCAATTTGTATACACTCTTCCATTGTTACATCAATTGTTAGTTGCTAATACTATTCTCACTGCGAATTGTCGCCGATATTATTTCAGTTATCCCACTTGTCATTGTTAATCCAAAATTTTGTTTTGCAGCGTTGAATTCCGTGTAATCAAATTTCACACAGTGTTAAGTTAAGTGCCTACTAATTCGCTACTGTAGGGTGCCACCGACAATTATACATCTCATCCAACAGTTGTACGACAATGCTGCATGCCAAGTTATCCACAACGAGAAACTCATGGAATCATTCTAAGAAGTGAGGACAGGAGTAAGACAAGGCTGCTTACTATCACCAATGATTTTCGTGATTGTAGTAGACTGGATAATGTGACAAACAGTGGGCCAGTCAGCGAGGAAACAGGCATAAAATGGACTCACACAAAAAACTTGGAGGATCTGGACTTCGCCAATGATATGTCTGATTTCCCACAAACTGGAAGATATGCAAATGAAAAGCAACAAGTTGGCAGAAGAAGCATCAAAGATAAGCCTTAAGGTAAACATAGAGAAAACAGAGGTGATGAAGTTTCCTGGCCAACACCACCAACAGCAACAACTGACAACAATCAGCATAAATGGAAGGAACCTGAAAGAAACAACCTCTTTTACCTACCTACTTGGGAAGCATCGTCTGAACTATAGACGGACACTACTGACGAGGATATCAAAGCATGAATCGGAAAAGCAAGACAAGCTTTCGCTACTCTCAAGTCTGTGTGGAGGTCAACAGCACTACTCAGCATCAAAAATAAGATCCGGATATTCAACTCCAATGTGAAGTCACTGCTGCTATATACGGATCAGAGACTTGGCCAGCGCGTCATGAAGAGCACCTCAAACAAACTACAGACCTTCATTAACAGTTGTCTTCGTTCAATACTCAAGATCAGATGACTGGCCAAAAAACATCAACAACAGGGATCGCTGGGAGCGAACCAACCAGGAACCAATTGTGCAAGAAATATGCAGGAAGAAATGGAGGTGGATTGGATTATGGTCATACTCTGAGAAAACCATCAAGTGAGTGACATCACACGCCAGGCTCTCTCTCTTGAGTGGAACCCGAAAGGGAAGTGGCGAGTTGGTCGTCCAAGGGTGACTTGGTGAAGGTTATGTGAAGAGGAGATGAAAGCATGTGGGCAGACTTGGAGCTAGGTGAAAACGTTGGTGGAGAACCGAACGCAATGGAGACGCGCGGCTGAAGCCCTATGTTCCTCTAGGAATTAAAGGAAATAATAATAATCCTATAATTTCACACCCCTTCCAACATCTATACATCTTCTGAATTATTCTGTCTATGACATTAATTGTTTAACCACTTGACACTTAGCTTAGTGATTATAATCATAAACATTTTAATAGCATTTCATACTACTATTATCACTTTATGTATTCACACCTTTGATTCAATTCCCTCATCGGATATAATTTCTTTAAAAAAAAACACCATATATATATATATATATATATATATATATACAATTGTACAGCTTGATAATAAATTCGTCGTTGAAAATAGTTTCTTCGCTGACTGAATCACCCCTTGTTTTGATTTTCTATATCTGCTAATGCGGATTTTCCATGAAGGAAGAAAAGAATCTCAATCTTACAAGAAGCTGGATATTTAAAAAAAATTCTGAGAATTTATAGTACGCTTCATGCATACATTCGTGTGTCTCATAACCTTGACCTAGTTGTTTTATCTGACTGACTACATGAGTTATTTCTTGACAAGCAGACACCAACTCACTGTAAGATCGCACAAATGCTGCCAACTGAAGATACACTACAGGCGTGTGTTAGAAAATAAAGAATCCTTTGGGTTGGTTGTGCAACCAACCTAACCAAGTGGGTCAATATATTACCACCATATATATACAGCTTGCAAACTGGAGATATTTTGGTGACTGTTTCTTCAAGGTTTCTTTTAATATTTTTGCTATTAGATAGATATAAGATAGATGCCTTACGGGAGTACTATCGTGAATGCTAATCTACTCTACTCTACTCTTTACTCTGCTACTCTAATGGTGCAATATGAAAAGAAAGAAAGAAAACTCAATTACAAAGTAAAATTAACAAACCTCTGGACCAGATAAGAAGTTCTTCACTGGAAACGGATGAAGACTGAGAAGGAGAGCGTACATGACGTTGCATTATATTTTCCACAGAAGTACCATCAGCATCATGATTGTTGGGATTCACTAGTGCCATGAATCATACATACTATATAAAGTTTTTTGCATTAGGTCTACAATTGAACAAATACTAGAGGAAATGAATCTCGCAGAAAGCAATGTCAATAAAATTATATGACAAGATTGAAAGGAAGCAAATTTGAAAAGAAAGCAATCATAATAATTTTACGAAACTACTTCTCAGCAGTTCACTCAGTCCTTCTCTATGGCTGGCTCTGAAACATGGTCAATACGAGTTGAAGACATGAAAAGGTTGTCTGTTTTTGATCACAGATGTTTACGATCTCTTTCTCACGTTAGGTGGCATAATAAGGTAAGTAATGTCGGCGTTAGGTTGGGCGTAGAGTGTTGGGCAAAGAGGGAAAATCAATCGAAGAGGCTATTAAGCTACATATATTGAGATGGCTAGGTGTCGTGCTGCGCATGCCTAACCATCGCCTCCCCCTCCCGACGGGCATTACTAGCTGATATAGGTGAAGGTTGGAAAAGAGTAAGTGGTGAAATCCCAAACAAAAACATGGCATAAACCAATCCATGAAATCCTTGACAGTTAAACTGAGTCAGTCAGGTAGGGAGATGCAGACTTCCGGGTTGAGGCCCGCCCTCGGGACTCTAAGAATCAATGGCTGGAGACAGACAATAGGTGACATGGCTCAAAATCGTTGTCAATGGCTTACGCAGATGTATTCAGTCTCTTGTGTAATCTTTCATATTCCTTTCTACCATTACTCATTCTGTTTCACTCTTATACTTGTCAAAACTCTATTGATTCTCTTCACTCATCTTCTTGTCTACCTTTGTATGCTATTTGGAACGTGGCAACTGAAACTGCTGCACTTCGGTGCCAAGTTCTATGTTGAATCCAGACAGACAGACCTGTTATGCAGCACTGAAGTGGATATAAATTGTGATTTGTGATGAAAGTAAAATACTGAATAACACACACAACTTGGCAACTCTCAATGGAAAGTTTTACGTACAAGTAAAAAAATCTTTATACAACTACTAAAGAGACTGATGCATTACTAATGAAAAATGAGGTGTATCTGACCTTGATTAGCATAACTGACTGACCGGTTTCAACTTAGACCTCTGTACAAATGTACAGTAGTTTGAGTTGCCACATTCCTCCAGCTACTACACAAAGCATTAGAACAGAGTACAGACAGATTCAAAAGACAGGGAGATTTTAAATATATAAGTGCTAATGAGGCGAAAAGAATAGTAATGTGGAAGAATAACAGAGTTTCATTGGAGTGGATAAATCCTCACAAAGAGTGAATGCATATGCACCAGCGACAGCCATCACTGACAACGATTTTCAGCCAACCGTATCACTAATTGACGCCGGCTTTTATTGGTTCTCAACACCATCCCGAGGATCCCAATCAACCAACCAGTCAGTCAGTTAGGCAGTCTACACCTCCCTACATGACTCACTGACTGGCGTAAACTAAGTGTTGTGGATTCCGTAGACTGAGGATGAAGTCATGTTTTCGTTAGACCACCACTACTACCACCACTAGATAACTCCATCCATCCTATTTCACTCAATGCCTAACATCGCCAGTCGTCAAGGAAGGCGATGGCTAAGCATACATGCATAACAAATGTCCTAACCATCCATATCAATCGGTGTCACTTCACATCCACCTCGTCAATACATACATTTCCTTACCTAGCAGTCGACCGATGCTCATCGCAATACTGGTCACCCTATTACACCTACCACCTGACACAGGACCTAGATAGAACGCTGACACCTACAATCGAACAGCTATCTAGCTGAACTTTTCGTGTCTTCCAGTCTCAACGGGCATGTCTCACAGCTAGCCAGTCAGCCATCTATAAAGGAGGACAGAGCGAACTGTTACTGAGCAGCACACACACACCCCTTGGTCGACAACCAGCCAGCCAGCCAGCCACCCGGATATCACGTCTACTAAGACAGAGAGAGATGGCGTCACTTGGCGTTGGTTGATGCAGCTTCTCGAATACGTGGAGTGGTAAACACACTCAGCCACAACCTTACTCCTGCCTGCCTGCCTGCCTACCTGTAAGCTAGAAGTGAGTCGATATAATCCAATCCTGTTGTGTCCATCAGCTTACATTTGACAGCACCACAAGCGAATCGCTCCCCATGCCAAACGTTCGAAGGTTGCTTCTCGCCCAAGGTGTTTAGAAGACCGCGTTTGCATTTTGTCAGCGTCTTCACCTGGAAGGAATACATCATCAACATCCGCATATTCTAAGTCAACGAGACTATTATTCCCTGGTGGTAACATGTCAGCCGGTGAGTTGCTCAAGTCATTTAGGGCTTGCGCACATATACCTATGATGAAATTAAACAGAAATGGAGACAGCGGCTATCCTCCTCCTGTTGGCCACCACTGGTTGTCAGCTGACAACTCTCCGTAGGCTCTCATCTGGCTGACTGACTGCATGAATTCGGGTAGAGTAAGTGCCTTATTTAGTGCAATGATTAGCATAAGTCGAAGAAGACTGTTAGCAATTTAAAGTGAGAAAATGGTGTTACGCTACCTGATGTAAACGACGGACGTATGGACTACGCTGATTACACATACTTACCACTTATTAAATGAAATTCTTTAAGATGTTTTTCTGATATACGACACATTCAGTATATATACAGGAAAACATGAACTAATATTTATGTCATGCGAAATACATTCTGACTTGCAAAAACAGTCGTATCTACGTCGTTTAGCTCGTGTTACACATTAAGTAAACAAGAGATCGAAAATGCATTATCTCATTATTCAGTTGGAGAAAACATTTAGTTCATTTCTACAACATGGCTCAGAACACAAGAAGAATCTCAGCACAGTGAAGACATCGTCGAAATCACTACAACTTCACCCCAAGGCAACAAAAGCAAAAAAAACGCAACGTAGTTTATTCAGGGAAGTGTTTCAAATTTCGAGTACTAATATATTAAATGTGATACAGTACATTCACACGAGAAAGAGGAAAAAGCAATGAAAACGCTAAGAACGACAGGGAGAGTATATAGACATTTGAAAAATCCATAATCTTACTATGAACGGTCTGTCTGTTTTCGACATAGAACTTTGCACAGATGTGCGGTGGTTCAAGTCGCCACACTCCATGTAACACACAAAGGAAGAGAAGAAAGTAGGAGAAATGCATAATATAGACAGTAAACAGGGATATTAGACAAAAGGAATAGTAATAACAAGAAAAACAAAACAGTTTCATTGGAAATCATGAATCACAAGGAGTGGATGCATCTGCACTATGCATTGAGAACGATTTTGAGCCGTAATCACCGATTGTTTCTAACCATTGGTTTTTACCGTCTCGAGGACCCCAACCAGTCAGGAAGCCAGTCTACACCTTCCTACGTGGCTTAGACTAACTGTTGTAGATTTCATTGACTGGTGAAGCCATGTTTTCGTTTGACCGCCGCTAGCTCTTTTCCAGCCTGGCCCTATATCAGCTAACATTGCCCATTGTCGAGGAAGGCGATGACTAGGCATGCATGCGCAACACATGTCCTGACCATCTCAGTCGATGTAATTTCACAGTTTCGTCGACTGATTTCCTCGCCTTACCTAGCACTCGACTGATGCCTAACCTCAATATTGCTCACCTTATCATACCACTTCACACGGGAGATAGAACGCAGACACCTATAATCGAAGACAGCTAATCAGCCTTTTCATGTCTTCTGCTCTCAATGGCCAGCTCTCACAGCCATAAAGGAGGACGAGGTGGACTGTCGAGCAGTACACACACCCTTTGGTCGATAGCCAGCCAGCCGGATATCACGTCTACGCCAGAGACGGCGTAAACTGGCATATGCGAACCTAGCCCTCTGTATTCGTGTTAAGATTTCGTCAGAGATCAACCCGTTGGCACTGGCTGATGGTACTTCCCAAGTAAGTGAAGCGGTCAACGTGCTCTACCATTTCACTTCCTATTTTTGAATCTAGGGGTCGGTGTAGTCCAATCCTGCAGCATCATCTTACATTTCACAGGGGCGAATCGCATGCCAAACATGCGAAGATTGTTGCTCAAGGTGTTCAGAAGACCGTGTCTGCATTTTGTGAGCGTCCTCGCCTAGAAGGACTATATCGTCCGCATGCATATTCTAAGTCGACGAGATTATTCCATCCCTGGTAGCAAGTCAATCCCTGAGTCGCTGAAGTGTGTTAGGGTTAAGTCCATTAGCACGTCTATGATGAAGTTGAATAGGAATGGGGATAACGGGCATCCTTGACGGACGCCACTAGTCGTCACCACTTCAGATGACAACTCGCCATAAGTCCTCACCTGGCTGCATGAGTACGAGTAGAGTGCCTTAATCAGTGCAATGTATTTTCTTGGCATTCCCTTTACAGCCAAGCATCGCCAGAGAACCTCTCGGTCGACAGAATCGAATGAACGCATTCATTTAGCTCTATTTAGTCACCACAATTAACGAGCACACCAGTTATTATGATTCAAGGGGGACTAATTAGCCTTAAAAAAAACATTTGAATAATAACGAGTAACAACTAAAAACAAGATAATTACTTCACTACCAAGCACATTTCTGAAGAGGGCGAAGTTAGACTATAGGGTCACTGGGGGTGCGAACGCTCCGATGACCCTGAAAGCATACTAGTCATTGGCCAACCACACCTGTCATTATTATAGCACAAATATGAACGCTATTTACCGGCGAATTACACTCGGATCACGTTTCTAAGTACTGTTTCGACAATATGTTAATAGCTCGTTGGGGTTAGGAACACGATTATAATGAAGGTGAGGATTAAGGATGAGGTTACGATTAGGGATGAACGTCATTTTGTGTGTGCAAAAGTTATTTATTTTTATGGTTGACAGGTTCAAGGTCACTCGTGCGTTCGTACCCCTTGGTTTAACTTTGCTCTGAAGACGATGCATAAGGCTCATAATTTCATATAACTCGCTTTTAGTTGTTTCAGAATGGTTTTAGGTTTTTGGTGGGTTACACTAAAATCTACAACTTCTGCTACAATTCTGATTTTGACAGAAGGAATAT